ACACCACGCGCGATTCCATCTGCTACCATATATTTACAAACTAAACGCATGATTTGAGGAAAATTAGTGACTAAATGTCCCCGCAAACCTAGGGAGGTTTAGTGAAAGTCCCTCGAGCTACGCCCTCGGAACTTTTCCTAAACCTCCCTCGGTTTGCGGGGACATTTAATCATTAATTTCCCTCGAATCATGCGTTTACTTATAATAAACGCATGCTTTGAGTGAAATTAGTGAGTAAAATAGTCCCTCGGGATTGTCTTATGATTGTGGGATGAACACTTTTCATACAATACGTACGCACGCGCAGAAACACATCTGAGTGTTCATTCTTTTTAGGCAAACGCATAAACCGAATTTTATCCCACAATTGAAATGTTCAAGATTGCGGAATAAAACTAGCAAAGTGATTGTTCGAATGTGTGCGGGACCGTGTCGTCAGATATTGTCCATAGTTGTGCTGATGATTTTTGATGAGGTACAGCTCTCCAATGAGAGGTAATGAGCTACGCTTTTGTCTTCTAAATTTCCATCATCAAGTATGCAGGGGAAAATTAGAAGACAAAGAAATCTTTTGTTTTCAACTAAATTTTCCTGGGAAATTTAGAAGGGAAATTTAGAAGACAAAAGCGTGTGCATAGGAAATGAGGGAAATACGTGTTTAAATGCCCCTTTGGGTTGTAAGTCCCTGGGAATTGAAATCGAATTGCTAATAGATCATATTACTGTTGTTGTACTGTACTTGTAAAATGAAAACTTATTAAGTGTCATTTAATATATGCATAAATGTTGCTTTAGGCACTCGCGTTTATACACCCTCTAGGCTGCATGGGCGCAGGTATGCAGTCTCTGAGTGCCCTCTAGTTATTGAAGTTATTATCCCTGAGTCAACGGCGAGGAGCGCCGTTCCGGGCGTAAGCCCGTGGCGAGGGTACTAATTCCGCCCGGCTACTTACACCTGGGGAAAGGAACGCACTAGCGAAGTCTACGGCTCATTAAATATCGTGAGCGCATGGCTATGATCCAAGGGTAGACCTCCCCACTGATCTAAATATATGGCTGTTTCCCAGGAGTGGGATAAGTTTTAAAACTTTAAAGCAAAATTTCAATTTTCAAAAGCATATAATTAACTTGGAAAATCACGTTTCACACAATGAGCTTCGGAAGCAATTTTTGTTCGAAGAAATGAGAAGAATTGAATTACTCAGAAAATCTTGAAATATAAGGCAAATTTGCTTTAAATATATTTAATGTTTATAAATTTTGTTGCTTAATTAAATAAGTTATTGCGTAAAACATGCAATGCTGTAAAAAGTCAAAATTAAAACTTCTCCTTTTCAATGAAGCTGTAGAAAGTTTCCAAAATTAATTCGGTTTAATTTAATCTAAGAAAAAAAGGTAAAATGTAAAGGCGAGCAAATTAATTTGAAGACCTAACTGAAATTATTCAACAATTCGAAGTAAAAAATCTAAAAACAGTTTATCGGCAAAAACAGTTTAGTTATTATAATGAACATTTCAAAACATTTTACGAAGCGATTCAGGTAAAAGTTTACATTAAATCAAACTTCACAAAATCGAGACCAACATACCTACAGTACATATTTCGGAAATTCATATTCATTGTTATATAGTTTAAAGCAATTATTTTTCAACTATTTTTGCCATGTTGTCCCCGAGCCGACGGCGCGAAGCGCCGTGCGAGGGTGCTAATTCCCCCAGGCTATTTAGACACGGGTAAACGAAAGCACTAGCCAAGTCTAAATCAAGTTCATCAATGAGCGCGGGCTTGGGTTACCGTGAGTGGTTCGGTGGTTCGGTGGGTGGTCATCCTTACTGATCTTAAAAATATGGCGGACTGTCATGAATAGTGGACACTGATTGGTCCAATTTAGAGTTTGCATTATAACGACTGTATGACGACAGCGAAATAGCAAACATTTCTTGATTTGATGATTGATAAATTTCTTGCAATAATATTTAATTTTTGCACGCATTTTTGCAAGATTTTGTAAATTTCAAGAAAGAAAGGGCGAAAGAATCGGCTAAAAGAAGGGAGCCGACGTCAACGAGGGTAAGTTTGTTTTAAATATTGATTTTATAATTGCTTTAAAACCCGACGGCCACTTTGGCCCTTTGGCTTTGCGTATATGAAACAACTAAACAAGACAGCATATAATTTCAGTGTATTAATAGTATTGATTCCCTTTTTTATTAGACCTATATTGAATTTTTAAATTAAATAAGAAAGAAAGCAAAGTTATTTGCATGCGTGAATTTGAAATCATTTTATTGCAAACTGAAAGTTTATCGATAAAGCCATTTTAATAATTAAAGGCAGTCTTAATAGTTTTATAAAGAACATTTTAAAACGTTTTGCGAAGCTTTTGTGGTTGAATTTTACCTTAAACTGAAGCTTATAATACGTATAATAACATACCTAACATATATGTTGGGAAATTGATAATTTTGTAATCAAAAGTGATATTTTTAGGCGATTTTTCATTTTAAAAATTATCGTGTTACCATGACAACAACTTTGGATACTTCATGTTCGGAAAATACAATGGTTTTGTCAGCAAGGCGAGGGTTTCTGCGTGCATGTATTTTCTTGTACAAAATCGAATAAAAATTAAAAATAAAGTTATTGTGTTGTCATTGCAACATTCACGTAAACGCGAGCCTGCGTTCAGTGTTGATCAATTACTAATACTTCATGTTAAATCAATGTTTAGAAATATAAGCGACTGGGTGCTGCATAAATGTATTTCTATTTAAAGGAGTGATTATTGCACAATAGGTAGTAGACAGGTGTGTTTTTGCCACATGACGTAATGCATTATTACAGAGCATACGTACCATATACAGAAAACGCAGAAAAAAAACTGTAACGAAGTAAAAAAACCGTGCGCCATGTTTCAATTTCAATTTCAATTTCAATTTATTAAAAGATACCAATTTTGCAGTTAAGAACTGAATTACACTGGTTTACATGCATACGAGTAAAAATGTCTACAAACACTCCTTATTTACAAGTTGTTAATTGTGATAGTTCTAGGTAAGAATATAGCTAAAAAATTACTATTTAAAACTGGAGTTGTAGGCCTTACTACCGGCCATAATAAAACTCTTGGCAAACCTACTTGTCCTATGCTTTGGTATTGAAAGACAATTATCATTACGTAGAGAATATCCTGTTTTATGTCTTGGGGGAACGAGAAAATGGAGTTTATGGGATGATTCATCACAAATTTGAGCGAAACGTTTCTCGCAAATGGTCTTTCTCCGCAGGAACAGTGACACCACCTCAGCACGTACCAACGCATCTTCATATTTGAGATCAGGAAAGATTATACGAAGGGCTCTCCGTTGAATACTCTCGATCTCGTCGCTCAAATATTGCGCCAAGCTATAGTGCCATACCTCGCACGAAAATTCTAAGATTGGTCGAACGCAGGTAGTAAAAACCCGGACTAACTTGCTCGCTGGTATAGAGGCTCTCTTAAGTAATCGTAAGGCATACAATCGCTTCGAAGCTTTCTTGCAGATATAATCAACGTGCTCGGTCCATTTAAGATCTTTAGATATCATGACACCAAGTAATTTAGCATGCGGAACCACAACTCTATCGTGACCGCCAATGCTGATCGGCGGAAGAGCCCCGGGATCAAGAGGAGAAAACCCAACACGAACTTCTTTAGTTTCTGTAGGGTTCAGTTTCATGTTATTCTCAAACGCCCATTTAGTAGATTCTGTAATTTGAGACGGTAGGACCGAGTTGGATTCTTGACCCTTCAAGACAATCTCCCAGATAGTGGTGTCGTCAACAAATTTTACTGTATCGTCAGAAACATCCACGTCGTTCACCATGATGAGGAAGAGGAGGGGGCCCAGTTTGGTTCCTTGGGGGACTCCTCCGTTGGTAGTTCTCCAACTCGAATAATTAGAGCCAATTCTTGTTCTCTGACTTCTGTCGGTGAGGAAATTGGCAATCCAATTAATTAGGATAGGGTGTACACCCGTGTTAATGAGTTTCTGCATCAGAATGTTGAAATCGATACGGTCAAAAGCTTTGGAAAAGTCTAGCATGCATATCCGTAGGCAGGCTCCAGGTGTGTCCATCGCTTCGTACTATTTATGAAGCAGGTGTATTAGCGCCATGGTGTTGTTAGATCCTTTAATTGAGCCAAATTGGAGCTTATCGAGTTGGTCGCGGATTGATTGCAAGAGCCAGTTATATGGAAATGATTCCAGAATCTTACTCACTATGGGCGTGACCAATATCGGTCGAAAATCAGAGTCAACATCCAGAGCAGGAGAAGACTTTGCTGCAGGAATGACATTTGCAGATTTCCACAGGGATGGAAAACAACCATCATGAATAGAGGCATTAAATATGGATGCTAATGGGCGACACAATAACGAGGAATTTTCATGGAGGAACCAAGGCGTGATTTCGTCAGGACCTGCAGCTGAAAAGGACTTGACGGATTGTAATGCTTTCTCGGTGTCGTCGACTGAAATGTAAAAGTCGGGAGGAAAATCACCGACTTCGAAGGGCGTCCAAGCAAGCGGAGGCAGGTAATTCCCAACGGCAACAAATATAGCGCCACTTCAAAATGGCCGCCGGTCACGACTTTTCGAGCTCTACAAAAATCGGAAATTTGACGTCTCTGAACCTTGACTTAGACATTATTAGGTCTTTGAAAGGTTGTGGTCACTTAACGTATGACGGAACCCGAATTAAATGGTCGCAGGATCTTCAATCACTAAAGAATTTCGTTGAAAATATTGTCGGCCTACGAGGCAATTGGTCATCACCTGGTGGTAAAGCTAAGAGGTTTACCAGCGTAAATTTTGATCTGATCGCGACGTGGTACCCGGGCAAACAGAATTCGCTATTATTCCAAGGAAAGGATGGTGATCTGCTCAAGAATTATTTGGTGAGTGTCTTAGATATAACTTGTATTGGCCAAACAACCACGGATACGGACACTGATTTTATGACCAACATAGCGGATTCGGTATTTGAAACAGAGACTGCAGAGATATCTCCAGTTAAAACATGCGAAATTATCACTAACAATAACCCGGCAGTTACTGAATCGACCCCGTTGAAACATCTCAGTTTGTCGTACAATACTTTTACCAACGATATGAAAGGGGTTAAAGCGGACATAACAGTTATTCAAAAACAAATAACATCTATAAACAATGTTATTAACTCTACCAACGCGATTATAGAATCTATTAGTAAAGTTTTGGACTCTACAGAAAACCGTCAAATATCGTACGACACCAGAATGGAGACCTTGCTTAAGGAGTTTTCCATAATTTTAGACGAGAAAAACAGAGCGATAAACGAGCGAGATATCACTATTAAACAGCTTCAAGCGAATTTGTCAGAAATTGAAAATGATAGAAACTCATTAAATCTTAAGAATTCACCAACAAAGCATGTTGACAATAAAAGTAAGACTGCATCGCCGCCAATGCAGCCCTTGATGTGTCAAATGAATAATATTGAGGATTTAATCAACTTGTCTAAAATTAACGATCTATGTGATATTGAAATCGATGTCTTGGGCGATGCATCCAAATCTGATGATATGCTTCTAAGTCCAAATAATTCTACTATAAAGGAACTTGAGGCCTTTATTGACAAGTCTTTCTATAGCGCCTCTGTCGAGCTATCTAATCCTGTCCAGCCGACGGACTTCTCTACTCTAGCGCAAAGACGCTCTCAAGAAAACCTGCCTAAATCCGAAGCTCAATTTCTAACATTTAAAGAAAACGTTGAAACTCGGCTGCAAGTTTTGTCGTACAAACTCTTTGAACAGAATAATACCATAAATATAAATAAACAAGAGCTATGCAAATTGACCTGCAAAAATTTACATCTTAAATCACGTATCTCGGAGTTGGAGGGGAGATTGTCGCCAAAGAATACAACAAATGGGAGTAGTGACCTGAGCCCATGTGAAAAAATAGTTAAAGGAAATAATATCTTAACTGCGAATATAGATGCTTGTGCTATTTCTAGTCGCCTTTCGCCTGGAACAACTGCATATGTCGATGACAGCGATGAATATGCTATCTCAACTGCGAATGCCGATGCTTGTGCTGTTCCTAGTGACAGTCCACCCGAAAAAAGTGCGCATGCTGATGACACTTCGGCCCCTATAAGTCAACAGTGTGGTGAAGATAACAGCGGAGAATATGATGAGACTTTGAACCGGACTGACAATATCGTCAACCCAGAACGCACAAAAAAGCTCGTAAAGCCCGCCATAATGTGCAATAGTAAGTCAACGATATGTCAACAGAAAATGTATGGGAAATCTCCTCTTCAGGATCGGACAATGCCACAAGATTGGTTAAATTATCTCCCTTTTGTAGAAACCGGTCAAGAGGAAAATGTTAATTCGAATGTTTCGATGCAACTAGATTATAATCTTACGAGAGAGAATCCGGTAGAAACGCTACCATTGACTAAGATGTCACCTCGGACTAGCTCTCATAATAATACCAACGTTATTCCCGATGAAGTTCTACACACGCCTATTGCGTTACTGGGCGCTGATTCTAGTAATGTGTGCATGGAAGATCAGTTAAAAGCATATCGACGCAAACATCAAACGGTAAACCGCATCAAGCAATGTCCAAATCCCATGCAACCCAAAAAGGTTACGTTTTTTAAAGAACAATCAAAACCATACTGTGGTAGAGTTAATAAAACTCGATTTCAGACAGAGTATAACCAGGCGTTTTTTCGGGAGGGAAATGCGTATCGACACACAAACGACTAGCTACATCACTTAAATCTTGTTCGCCGATTAACACAATGACAACACTCCAACAACGGCACCAGGGACCGCACCACCCTTTAACTTTACCTATCCCTATCCCTGTACGAATTACTAACCGAGACACAATCGCATCACAGCGTAATCCAATCGCTAATGGACTTGTAAATCCTGAGCAATTGCGACAAGTCAGACATACCAAACAAATACCAACAACATTGACATCAGCCAGAATTTATAATCCTGCAAACTGTGTCCAAATTACCCTCGCTACCGCGATGAAATCAACAGTTGCATGTGCTCCAGAAAATGTATTCGTTCCAAGTGTTCTCCTTTCCAATGTGATGTCCTTAGCGCCGAAAATTGATGAGATTCAACATTGCGTTGCGCACGCAAATTTTGGTCTAGTTTGTTTAACTGAAACGTGGCTAAAAGATTGCATCCAAGACGAAGTAGTGTCCATCAGTGGATTCAATATAGTTCGGCTTGATAGAAAATCACAGGTACACGGCGGAGTTTGTACGTACATCAGTGAATCGATTCAATTCTCCCTCATGGACGATTTAGTTGACCCTGCTTTCGAAGTCCTGTGGATTAAAATCCGCCCAGCCCGACTCCCAAGAGGTTTTAACTGCATCGTTGTAGGAACAGTGTACCATCCACCAAGTGCAAGTGATTCTGAAATGTTGAACTATCTTATAAATTGCCTCTCATCAATTGAAGCTCAGAGCCCTAATAGTGGAATCCTTCTACTCGGAGACTTCAACAAATTGAAAGTCACAAAATTGAAATCTAGTTTCAAATTAAAACAAATCATCACTTTCCCAACAAGAGGTTCAAATACATTAGATCTTATTTTGACTAATTTACACGAGTTCTATAACAGCCCAGTTCAGCGTCCCCCTTTTGGTCTATCCGATCATATGACTATTGATCTTCAGCCAAAATTACGTTCACAACAACCGAAGCAGCGATTAACAATTAAATCAAGGGACTTGCGTCCAAGTAATCGTTTGGTTATGCACACATACTTTCAAGAAATAGATGTTGCTGCCCTAGTTAAAACCAAAGATACGTGCGCTGAAAAATTAGAGATTTTTCAATCAATCCTAAAGAACGGTTTAGACCAAGTAGTTCCCCTACGAACTAGAACTATCCATCTAAATGAGCCCCCATGGATTAATTCAACCTTTAAAAAATTAATCAAGCAACGCCAGCGAGCCCTTAGTCAAGGGAACTTAATTGAATTTCGACGCCTAAGAAATTGTGTGAATCGAGAGAGAAAAGTGTGCCGATCAAAGTACTATGAAGCAAAAGTTGAACATTTAAAAGATTGTAAACCAGCAAAGTGGTGGAAAGAAATTAAAAAGTTAAGCAGCATGTCCTCTGCATCTGGGAGACAAAATGATGTAATGAACTCTCTTCGATTCATAGAAGAGGCCTCAAGCACATCTGACCTAGCTAATATAGTTAATGATGCTTTTATTCTTCCGATGAAGATTTTCTCACCTCTTCCACACGATTTTCAACTCGAACAAGATATCCCTTCATCCGTACCATTTGTTTTATCCGTTCACTCTGTTTTTATGAAGTTGTCGTTGTTGAATCCAACAAAAGCTCAAGGTCCAGATGGCCTCCCGGCCTGGCTACTGAAGGAGAATGCAGACCTTCTTGCAGAACCTATAGCAGAAATTATAAACAGCTCTTTCCGCGAAAGTAGGTTACCACCATCATGGAAAGAAGCGGATATAGTTCCAGTACCGAAACAAAGAATAGTAAGACGTCAGCAAAACACTTAAGACCAATTTCCCTCACGCCAATACTTTCTAAAGTTGCTGAGGAGTTCATCATACAAGAATATGTCAAACCGGCGGTTTTAAAAAAGATTAAATGTAACCAATTTGGCTCAATCCCAAAATCATCGACAACCCAGGCTTTGATCAGCATGATACACACATGGAGCAAGTATACGGACGGAACTGGCTCTACAGTCAGAGTGGTTGTTTTCGATTTCAGGAAAGCTTTCGACCTAATCGATCACAATATATTGGTTCGAAAGCTAAAAGATCTAAATATCGCCGATAATATTATCAGTTGGATCGTTGATTTCCTGAAATGCCGCAAACAAAGGGTAAAATTGTCACAGGATTGTAAATCGGAATGGAAAAATGTGCCGGCAGGAGTTCCCCAAGGAACAAAGTTAGGGCCTTGGTTGTTCGTGTTGATGATTGACGATATAGACACCACCAATACAGACTTGTGGAAATATGTGGACGATACCACAGCCGCTGAGATGGTAGAAAAAGGAGAGACAAGTAAGATCCAGAATATAGTAAATGAATTAACGGAAAAAACGTATAGGAACAAATTCCAGTTTAATGAGAAGAAATGCAAAGAGCTTCCGATTTCTTTTACAAAAAATCACCCTGAATACGCACCTATTGTTATCAATGATAAACCAATAGAAATTGTGACTACCATCAAATTACTGGGTCTGAACATTTCCAATAATCTTAAATGGAACCATCATATAGAGGAAATTGAAAAAAAAGCTTCCACTCGGTTGTATTTCCTGAGGCAACTAAAACGTGCCAAAGTTGCCGAAAAGGAACTTTTAACTTTCTACAAGACTTGTATTCGTCCTATAACCGAATACGCCTGTCCTGTTTTCCACAACGGATTACCCACGTATTTGTCAGATGAATTAGAACATATCCAAAAACGCGCAATGCAAATCATATTCCCAAATATTAATTATCAGGACGCACTGAAGAACAGTAACTTATTTTCTTCATACGAAAGAAGAGAATACCTAACGAATAAACTCTTTGAAGAGATATGTTCTGATCCCAACCATAAACTACATTATCTGGTGCCGAAACTAAACGAAACTGATATTGGACTAAGGAACAGACGTATGTTTAACTTTCCTGTGTGTAAAACAAACAGACTAAAAAATAGTTTTATATTTAGTAATTCAAGTAGGAAAACTTTTTAATCCTAGTTTATATTTATACTTATTGGATATTACATGTAAAATTAGTTTATCACTATTTTAATCACTTTTAACTTTTATATTATGTAAATTTATATGCAATTCAGCCATTTTGGCTGCAATGATATATCTTAATAAACTATCTAAACTAAAAAACTTGTCGTTGAACAGGTTGGCCAGAGCCGAATCGGAATAGGGCTGTCCGTTGTACACAAGTGTGGAACCGTTTTTAGATGGGGCAAGGCCAGCAATATTTTTGACAGCGGACCACCACTTCCGTGGATTCGACTGAGTGGTATTAGCGACATTGTTGGTATAATACTTTGAGCGAGCATGCCTACACAAGCTATTAATTTTGTTCCTATAGAATCGAAACATAGGCTTGTTTCCTTTCCGCCATGTTACTTGGCGTTTCGATATTAATCTTTTTATCTCTGGAGTAATCCAGGGCTTATCGCTGCTGTCAGATTTAATACGTTTTAGCGTGAGATATTTATCAACAATACCATCGACAATGGAAGAGAAATATTGGAACTGTTCGTCACAAGAGCTCAGATGATACATTGGAGACCAGTTAACACTGGATAGGGCTTCAGTGATTAACCTCCGATTGGAGGGATGCGCATCTCTGACCATTCGGAAAGACCGCGAGTTCTTACGATGATTCAGTGGATTTAGTAAAACTGAGTTATGGTCTGAGAATCCGAGTGGAGGAACAACTTCAGGAACGTCGTAAAATTTCGAAATATTCGTGAAGATTTTATCAAGAATGTTTGATCCTCTAGTAGCATTCTTCACGATCTGTTTTAAGGAAAACGAATTGCACAGTTGGCGGTGTTTGAATTGGTTGAAGTCGCCGGTTAGGATGATGGCAGCTCCTGGGTTAGCTGTTAGAGCGCGGTCAAGGGACTCGGTAAGATTAAGCCAACATGGCCATATTGTCACTATTTGGCGGATGATAAATGGCTCCCAATACGATTGAATTAATGCCACGTGGTAGGCGTCTTGGTTTGATTAATAGCCACAAAGCTTCAAATTCAGGGTTCGAGAGATCCTTCAAATGGACTACAGGTAGACAGTTTTTCACGTAAGCGCACACGCCCCCACCTCTTCTACCATCTTCTCGATCGCGCCTAATATATAGAGAACCCACTTAAGTTTATCACTGCGCTATCAACGTTGGAAGTGAGTCACGTTTCGGTGATAACTACAATGTCTGCAAGGAGATTAGAGACGGTACCAGAAAGTTCATCAATCTTATTTACTAGTGACCTCGAGTTGGACAGGAACAGGGAAGGTACGGAACTGCATGACTTTGGGGGGAATATCTGTTGTAAGCACGTCACAGATTTTCTACATTCATCGTTCATAGATATATTGATTAAGTTAGATCGGTGTACATTATTGTTATTTACACTGGCAATACGCTTTGAAATTATGATCGGGATAGCACTTGATTCGTTAGGATACTTGGGTATATTACTTCCCATTAAGATGTTGTTAGGCGTGATCGTGAAACGAGAGTTAGCTGAGATCGGTCGGAATGATGTAATTTCGAATTGGTTTTCGTGGATTGGCGAACAAAGTCGAGGTAACTCAGCCAATCCCTCGTTCTGGGACATCCAATATGCTGGTACGGTGGGTTCTTGGTTCGCTGACGCTTTGGAAAAGGAGATTGACTATAATCAACTGGGATTTCAACCAAAGGTAAACAAGAAAGCCACTTGGGTACTTGGAATTTAGTTCGGGGACATCCGCTTTGCTGGTATGGTGGGTTCTCGGTTCGCTGACGCTTTGGAAAAGGAGATTGACTATAGTCAACTGGGATTTCAACCAAAGGTAAACGGGAAAGCCACTCAGGTACTTGGGATTTAGAGCGGGTCGGGAGGGGCAGATCAGACTTGATTTTATTGTTAACATTTGTGCTTTGTAAGGCAGCCTTTGTATTTGGCTTCTGGCGAGGCTTATTTGTTGACCTATTTGGGGTTCTGGGGGACCTTAATTCTTGCTCGTAAGAGGTCGAATTTTGCTGACACCTTCCGCTACTGTTCACTGATACGAGACCGATGTTTTCTTTGTTCTCTCCATGGTTATCCATAGTTGGATTACTTAACAGGTTCAAAACTTGCTTTGTTGACTTGATTGTGCGTTCTGGGTTGACGATATTGTCAGTCCGGTTCAACGTCTCTTTATCATAATCTGCGCTGTTATCTTCACCATACTGTTGACTTATAGGGGCCGAAGTGTCATCAGCATGCGCACTTTTTTCGGGTGAACTGTTACTAGGAACAGCACAAGCATCGACATTCGCAGTTGAGATAGCATATTCATCGCTGTCATCGACATATGCAGTTGTTCCAGGCGAAAGGCGACTAGAAGTAGCACAAGCATCTATATTCGCAGTTAAGATATTATTTCCTTTAACTATTTTTTCACACAGGCTCAGGTCACTACTCCCATTTGTTGTATTCTTTGGCGACAATCTCCCCTCCAACTCCGAGATACGTGATTTAAGATGTAAATTTTTGCAGGTCAATTTGCATAGCTCTTGTTTATTTATATTTATGGTATTATTCTGTTCAAAGAGTTTGTACGACAAAACTTGTAGCTGAGTTTCAACGTTTTCTTTAAATGTTAGAAATTGAGCTTCGGGTTTAGGCAGGTTTTCTTGAGAGCGTCTTTGCGCTAGAGTAGAGAAGTCCGTCGGCTGGACAGGATTAGATAGCTCGACAGAGGCGCTATAAAAAGACTTGTCAATAAAGGCCTCAAGTTCCTTTATAGTAGACGTATTTGGACTTAGAAGCATATCATCAGATTTGGATGCATCGTCCAAGACATCGGTTTCAGTATCACATAGATCGTTAATTTTAGACAAGTTGATTAAATCCTCAATATTATTCATTTGACACATCAAGGGCTGCATTGGAGGCGATGCAGTCTTACTTTTATTGTCAACATGCTTTGTTGGTAAATTCTTAAGATTTAATAAGTTTCTTTCATTTTCAATTTCTGACAAATTCGCTTGAAGCTGTTTGATAGTGATATCTCGCTCGTTTATCGCTCTGTTTTTCTCGTCTAAAATTATGGAAAGCTCCTTAAGCAAGGTCTCCATTCTGGTGTCGTACGATATTTGGCGGTTTTCGGTAGAGTCCAAAACCTTACTAATAGATTCTATAATCGCGTTGGTAGAGTTAATAACATTGTTTATAGATGTTATTTGTTTTTGCATAACTGTTATCTCCGCTTTAACCCCTTTCATATCGTTGGTAAAAGTATTGTACGACCAACTGAGATGTTTCAACAGGGTCGATTCAGTAACTGCCGGGTTATTGTCAATGATAATTTCGCATGTTTTAACTGGAGATATCTCTGCAGTCTCTGTTTCAAATACCGAATCCCCTATATTGGTCATAAAATCAGTGTCCGTATCCGTGGTTGTTTGGCCAATACAAGCTATATCTAAGACACTCACCAAATAATTCTTGAGCAGATCATCATCCTTTCCTTGGAATAATAGCGAATTCTGTTTGCCCGGGTACCACGTCGCGATCAGATCAAAATTTACGCTGGTAAACCTCTTAGCTTTACCACCAGGTGATGACCAATTGCCTCGTAGGTCGACAATATTTTCAACGAAATTCTTTAGTGATTGAAGATCCTGCGACCATTTAATTCGGGTTCCGTCATACGTTAAGTGACCACAGCCTTTCAAAGACCTAATAATGTCTAAGTCAAGGTTCAGAAACGTCAAATTTCCGATTTTTGTAGAGCTCGAAAAGTCGTGACCGGCGGCCATTTTGCGTGAGAATCAAACCCACAAACTCAGATCAGAGGTAAAAGGCGCTTGCTATATGGCAACTTCACCCTCAGGTGTATTAAATAATATGAAAGTATAGTTCAACTTCGTTTTCTATGGTGTTATAATTATGGTCCACAGGCATGATCGGAGTTTCTGGTTATGTTGGTTGCCATGACTGGCATATATTATTTAATGTTTGTAATGTTGAAGGAATTGTGATATGCAGAAATACACAAACCAAAACCAACCTGCATTAATATAAAAACTAGGGTTAGCACTAACCTACCTTTGAACAACTGGCACAATGCAATGATAGGGCATGAATTTATAACCTATTATTTGCACGGTGAGGCTGCGGACCAAAATGAGAAAAATATCGCAGGCTCAGAAATAGTGGAACAATCAATATTTCTTGTCAATATCTATACTGTTCTTCAAAACCCTGGTATCGATAGTATTTCAATATTTGGTATCGTCCCATCCCTACTATCTAGTTTTAATACTTCAAGAAAGTTTTTTTTTTGTGTTCATTGATCCATTCATACATTCCAGACATGTTTAAATTATGCAGAGGATCCCTCTGGAAATTGCAGAAATATCTGTAATGGCGACCTTCTTGATACTCAAAAACATTCATATCAACCAATCTCTTGACAATTGCCTCAATATCACTTTGGGGGAAATGTTCAACATGTATACCTGATGGTGAAGCATATTGAATGCTCCTTTCAACCTTGAGAATTATTTATCTCGCCGATTTCTCAGCGCTAGGAATTTTGGTCACAGTCCTTTCAGTTACGTTTACACCCAAATGGTTGATCCCTTGCTTTATGTAATTGTTGTTGTGTTTCACTTAAACCATTCACCAGGAGTAGTTAGTACAGACGTTTAAGTGCATATTTACTACTATGAGAACCATCAGCCCTTCTGAATAGCATTAAGTACTTGTACTGCCTGAGTTTCTGTCGCCATCTCCCTCTGAAACTGAATCCAGAAAGTTCAAGAAGAATAGACCTTGAGCGAGAAGTGCAGTATTGTAATTGTATATATCATCTATATCATTTGGAGGAGTTGATGTGGAAACGGTTGTCAAACTCAAGGTGTCAGAGGTGGCAACATTTACGGGTGGGTCAGGGCTTAGTTCAGGTTTTTTCCTGTTCTTACCATTGTATTTAAATGACTTTGGACAGCCAGGGAACCGACAAGGAAAGCGCCCTTCTTGGTTTAATTCCTGCTGGGTGATTAGGTCTTGACGTTCTTGAACAGAAATCATGGTTTGAAACTTCAATCCATCATTTTCTCATTAACCACAATGCAAGTTCGTCAACAATCTTTGCAGCTGCCTTGTGAAGAAACTGGGAAAATGTTTGGGAAATGTTTGGGTTGACTTGTTGATTCACTTAAACCAAGCACTTGATAAGCAGCAAATATTACACGTGCCGTTACTTCGAGAACTAGAAAATCTTTATCCGCCCTGTATGCTTGATGAGGATCTTCTATTACATTTCGCCGATTGATCACATTCCTGTCATACATGATAGAACATTCATCATCAGAGGAACTTGCATAGTAACAACGACGGAATAATAACTGTAGAATAAATAAGTAAATCAATAAGAAGCAATTTTATAACTTAATGTTAATTTTATAACTTAAATTAAAGTTTGTCATGTATGAATAATGTACACCATATAAAATGTTTAACCCTTTAATTGGCAATGCACCCATATGTGCCCTACTTTGTTATTTTACCCTGTCTAATGCCAGAAGACTTTATTTGTCAGGAGGTCGATTAGAGTGTTGCCACTCAATGGTTTAACAATAGACTCATCATCACCATTCCATTGGTCAACCCTTTAAGGTGGCTCCCTACAGTTCTCTAAAATTCTAGGTATTTTGAATAAAGTTCGCTTTGAACCGAATTTATATTAGATACACTTAAGACAAGGCAATATGATCATTTCCAGGAAAGTTCAGAAGCTGTGTGCTGTCCATTTATGAACAAATTAAAACAGAGTTCGTGTTGCCATGGCAACCATGATGTTTAGTCTTTTGCACTTTTATTGTCTAATTTCACAATAAATTGACAATATCTATATTTTCCTTCGGTGAATTTTTCTGAAATTTTTTTTGAAGATTTATGGTCCATAAAGGAGAAACATATCAAAATTTGAAGGGAATTTACAAATAAGTTTTCGAGATATTCGTGAATGACGGTTACAGAAAAAGTTATTTGTAGAATTTCTTAAAATTTGGATATGTTGTACCACTCGTCTTGTATAACAAAAATACAAAGTTTAAGAAAATTCGAAAATTCACCGAAGAAAACACGAGAAAATCATTGCTAAAATCGGCGTGGCCAACATGAAAAAAAATCGACTCGACATGAGCACGATCTGCGCATGCGTGTAAATTGTAGCGTGTGATTTATAGTGATTTCAACTTTTTGGCTTACAATACAAGAAAACAGATATTTCTGACTTGTTTGACATGAAAATGAAATATTAATCTTGAAAATACTAATAAAAAAACACTATTATACGCATTGTATTAAATCCAGTGTTAGTTTACATTTGTTTTTGTTGTTAAAATCAGTGTGAAAACTTTTCAAAACATCGAACTACAAGTTTAACTTTTCATATAAAACAACTCATAACTGTTCTATTTGATTTAGCAGATAAAACGATACCTGTAAATTGAATTGATTGACAGAACTTACATAAGTTTCGGCGACAGTTCACTACTGTTCAAGAGTTATAGAAGACATTATCATTTCAGTTTGACAGTTCGCAACACAAGAAGTTGAAAATTTTGAGCAATATGAAAGACAATACTGAACGTAAATACGTAAAAACACACTAAAAGATTGGTTAAATTAGTTAATAACATACGTACTGTTCGAATTCACAAAAAAATTAGGATTATAATGAAAAACTGGAGCTTTCTTTGCAGATAAAAACGCCAAAAAACTTCCCGCGGCTTGTTTCAATATTTTTGCCGAACTGTAAACACGACGATTCCACGCGCAGGTCGCGAGGATGAAGTCTGATCTATATAAATAGTATTTAAATTGTACTAACTGTAGGGAGCCACCTTAAGTGGCAATGGACCCTGATTTAGTATTTTACTCTAGAGAGTGCTTCAACAAAATGGGTTAAACAGAATACATTATGGGCAGGGAAAAGAAAAATGATAAATTAATTATTTTTTTGTGTTTCCCCCTTATTTCACAGTCTGTCATGTGATATTTTGTGCATTTCCCTTAGTTGTGAAACCACTGCAATAGAATTGCAGGATGCAAGTTTGTGGAGCTGGAGTAAGTTGCACTTTTCACAATGTTCCTGTTTTAGTCTCCTTCCAATCGTATATACCTGTATATACTTTACAATCAATTCATACCATGCAACCACTTAATTTTCAAAAGAATACATGCTGTACTAAATATCCCAGTACTGTACAGTTATTAGAATAATCAAAAGTCCTCTGCCACATTATGCAGGGATTTCAAAGTAAACAACACATACCTCTGAGGCGTCTGGGGACATTCTCCCCTGGCAATTTTGAAATTTCACTGATGGCTGATTTAACTTGCCATTTTTGGCATTCTGGACATATTTATTAATCTTTTTCACAATCGAGAAATTGTTCACCAAATTGTAAAGCTAAATCTCTGATGAATTTTCCCATTTGCTGGGATAAAATAAAACTTCTCTTCTGGCATGGAGGAGCAACAATGTCACTATATACACATATATAACACAATATACTAAGGACTGGATACTGGCTTACCTCAAGAATTTTGACTCCTGTGTGCCAAACACCCAGCTGCATTCTGAAGCCCTCCAATCGGTCTTCTGGCGTATAACCATTTGATACAGAATGGATAGAATAAACTGCCCTTTCAACTGATAACTGGTCTCCAGCACATAGTTGATTGGTGTAGACGTTCATTCCATTAACCATTGTGTATGGAAGTTATGACTGGAATTCCTTTAAGATCTCAATCATATCTTCAGTAGTATTTTCATTTTTGAAAATAACACCCATGGGTACCTAATGTTTATATATAATGTAGTTAGTATTTGTGTAGACAAGAAACATATTTCTGTACATTGGGCAGGACATGTACATGCTTGTTGCGAACCCTTTAAAGCATATTGTTAGACAAGGTAAAATAATAAAGTGGGGCACAATACTAGACACATAAGCAGATAGCTAGGCCAGTTAAAACCAATAACTCTTTAAGTGGCACTCAGCACCCAATATTTTACTCTATCTAATGCCAGAGGGAGATGTCACTCAATGGATTAAGCACAAGCATTTTCCCGTTGATGAGTAAAATCTCTGTCGCTAAGCAAAGTAAATTAATAACGTAGGGTACTTCAGGGTGCAATGCGATTAAAGAGGTTAAAGCTTAATTTTTCATTTAGCCATAACTGATGTGAAATAGTCTGGACAATCTGGTCTTTTGTGTAATTATGTGTGAAACTGATTATTCTTTTTGCATTAAAGAGACATCGATAGTATAATGTGAACACATACTACAATGCATGGTTCAATTATTCCTGTTATATTCCTTCCCCCTGGAACTCCCAAGGAAATATACACCGACAATCCACATGGTTGGGGAACATTATTGAGTGTCTGGTTTTGGAGTGGCCCATGGAGGTGGGGAGTATAAATGTAAACTCCAAATGTTTCTTAGATGTTTGATAAGAAAAATGCGTACTGCAAGTGAATTTGAAGGTTGAAATATGTAAAATTTCAATTTATAATGGTTTGTTAATGTTGTCCCTGAGGTGGAGAGTTTTTCTTATTTTCCCGGTTGACTAGGGGTAAGGAACAGGGGCGCACATTCGCAAAAAATTTTGGGGGGGGGGTTCTATGTGCTGGGACCGACTTTTGTAGCATTTGTGTTTGGTAAGAAAAGCCAACTATTTAAAGCGCATAGACGGTAAGACGGGGATAGTATTCCAAAAGTTTAAATAAACGTTCAGTTTTTCAGAACTTTTGCAGTGGTCTAAACTTTCGGATGGGGGGCGGGGGAAAAATTTTTATGGATTTCGAATGCGAGCGCCGTAGGCGCGAGAAAAATTTTGAATTTCTAGATTCATGAGAACGCTATTTCACGTATTTTAGGATGGGGTTTGAAGAAAAGTTACAACCACAAAAAGGCATTTCTAAGTCGCCTAATGTTGTTAGATCGAAAAAATGTTTATGTAAATAGTATTGTACACGCAAATACAACAGCAAAATGGCGTGATGCCTTCGTTTTTGTAGAAGTCGGTCATGAGTGTTGCTCTGAGCGCAAATTCAAGTTCAAATGTGCTTTAAAGCAACCAGCATTTTTTACTGGAGTTAGGATTCTAGGTAGGGAAGACTTCAACTTTATTGGCAAACAGAGGAGATGGGTATCATTATTCACACATCGTACCCCCACCCCAATTTCTGCCCGGATTTCAGCTTTCCACAAGGGCAGTCCTTCTGACCATTGCAGAGCCCCCCGAGCCCCCATCTTGGCTACGCCGCTGATTTACTTCTGCCTTCCAAAGTTTCAGCTTTTGCGACAAAACTAACAATGCGCATTTTAACTGCACCGCGGGGGCTTGAGGTAATCGGATCGCATTACGTTGGCTGAACTGTTGCAACACAGAAGTTGATTATTTGCTCTCTTGGTTTGTGTCAGTGAACTCTAATTTGTGTATATTCGTTTTTCTTTGTCTAATTCGTTTTTCTTATGTTTATGCAACTTCCATTTCCAGAATGTCCACCTATTACTTTTTTCGACACAAAATGATATCTTTCAGATTTTAGCCGGACCGACTTTTTCGTCCCCATTCAGGTTTTGGGACCGACTTTTTAGATATATTTCACAAAACATGGGGGGTGTCACCCCCCCCCCCCACACACACCCCTAATGTGCGCCCCTGGTAAGGAATTGACACTTTGGAAATAAAAATCTGCAAGAGGAGGGGTTAACAGGCAGAATTGACCATGCATAACATTCCTTAGAAATTGTCGGTTTTAATTTCATTTGGCTCACATATTTATAAACATATTTAGCTTTTATATTGTACTTACGGATTCAGATTTTCCAGACATTTCTTTTGAATATTTGTGCGGAATATGACTGACACGTACATCCTTAAATGCTGAAAAACTTTCCAAATGCTCTACAAGCATTCTTGCCACTAAGACAATGTAGTTCTGTCGCTGACGCTTCTGATCTTGAACAGTAGGAAGAAGTTTGATATTCGATATGTTCAGGACATTTCTTGGCGACATATCTAGTTTGTTACCTGATATTCTGTTACTAACGATCTTATGATTAACCCAGCGACAGTCCAAATTCTGATTCTCCATTGTCATATGCCGTCTATTTAGATTTCCATCAATATTGTCGAAAAGGATAGCAAAACCAGAATGCAGATTTAATCTTTCTTTCTTCAGATCGCTCGTTGCATTCTTTTTCTCTTCGTTGCACATAATATTACAAATATGTTCTGATCCAGAGTTATTTTTCCTTCCCTGCATCTTCCAGAAATGACTATATGGTATAAAAAATAATGCTATGTGAGTTCATAAACTGCCAAACTTCCCGCAACGACACTCCGTTAAACCTCCCATGATACGTGTTCATAAGTTATAAACAAAAACATATAAACTTTCTATACGCAAATGGCATTATTAACAAACCGTAGCCGATAGTATTCAGATGTCGATTTCAGAACAATTGGCGCCAAATGCTAATATAATTTTATAACCATAATGGAAATATAAAAGGTTTAAACAAAACAGTTTTCGAACTTACTGTAATATTAGAGTACATGTATAAATTTACATGATATTTATTTCATTCATGTAAATATGTCATTATGTCAAACGTACGATTTACTAATCAGCTGACGAAGCACAACGAAAAGGTTCAATTTATAATATTAACCACACGAGTCATCAGGGGCGTAGGAAGCTTAGAAAAGTTGGGGGGGGGGCAGGCTTTGATGGGCACTTTCAAAAAAAAGGGCATCTCAAAAAAAATTTTTGGCGACTTCCCCCCCCGCCAAAAAAATTTCGGTCAGTGTACCATTTTTGGGGTAAAACATTTTTCCGGACATACCATATTTTTCCTTAAATACTAAAATTTTTTTCCAGAAAAACAAATATATGATATTTTTATGGGAAACTAAAACATTTTTCGGGAAAAAACCTACATTACAGTTTTCAAAAGTTTCGTTTGGACAAAAACTGCGAATTTTATGAAACTTTTTCAGGCACAAAAAGGGCACTTTGCTCCTGTAAAAAGGGCACTTGCCAAAACTTGAGGGGCCATGGCCCCCCTGGCCCCCCCCGGTTCCTACGCCCCTGCGAGTCATGTTGTTGCAAATTAAATAAATTGAAAACTGATAACAATAAAGATTAAATCAAACGTGTATAGAAATAATTTACTCTACCTGTACAGTATGGCATGAAATAAAGCATAAACAAACTTTTCTATCCATTAATTCATGTCAGCCATTTCACTACAGTAAATATGATATAAAATACTGAAACTTTAATTACATCGATGGATCTGGACTTAATGAGAATCCCAATAATTGTTGCACATCAATTCATGTGGGAATTGCGTTGCTTGAGGAGGATTGATCCAGGAACTGCTATACCAGGAAGCCATTGTAAATTATTTTTCATCTTTACAACAGCAATCGTCATTAAAAAAGCATAGAAAAGAGGCGCTGTCTTCTTCCATTGGAGACATAAATTCTTGAACTCAAAACTAGATAATTCATTCTTTGTTTTAGATCTGAGAAGGGAAGGCTTTCGTTTAGAACACAGTCCACTTACTTGCAAAGTCAAAAGCTTTAAAACTGTTTCAAGAATGTATTTTTTACCGTACTATTCTTTAATACAGCCCTTGCAATCCTTTGAGGAGAACCATGAGCGATTGCTTCGCCAAGAATCGCAAAATCATCAATCAATTCCCTTCGAATAGTCTTACTTGGATATTGCACAGTAAGAGACAATTTGGTTTTCTTTTCCACAGGCACAGATACAGTTTCAGTCTGTTCGAAATCAGGTAAACTGTGCGGAGTTTTAGCTTTATTTATAGGCGTACATGTTAACGGTATATTTGGGTTTGGCATTAAAACTGTAATGTCAGTGGGTACAGGAACTTCCCTGATACTTGAAGTCGCATTTGATTCAATGTGCGAATCTTCAAAAGCTAAACTCCTTTTGCTATTTGGCAACGTACTTTTTGCTGGAACTAACATATTATATTTCAGTGCAATTTCATGTTCAATCTCGTCCACTTTTCGTAATGAGTTTTTGTATCGTGTTAGTCGCTTATAGCAGCTCATGCGACAGATCGCTATTTTTTCGCATCTCACATAAAAGGACAGATCAACTTTTGTTGCACGCAAAACCAAAGTTGGAATACCAATGGTGCTTTTCCCAAACACGCTGATCTTATCGTGCTCGTTAGCTAACACCTTTTTGCAGAGAAAACAACATTGTTCGCGGTGCGATAACTTTTTGGGAGTTTCATTCATACTTATAATTATATATTTTAATATATAATGCCATACAAAACGCTTTGAATGTAGCTACTGTAATAAATCACTCCTTCGTTCGTCACGCGAAGCCAAGAGCCACGCGTGGATAATTTCAGCTGCATATGTCTATGATATAATGTAACATTTAATTGGTTGAATTGTGACAATGGCATTACGTCATGGAAATCGAATCTTCGCTCAGGTTCGCAGACGCTTAATAGCGAGCTTAAGCATGCAGGACGGCAACACGGCGACGACGGCCAAAACAAATTCATTCAAATAAATGATAGTAAAGAAAACTTGTCGTATATTATAATTCGTATGAATTTAATACAGTATAAGAAGCTGAAAACATTGGCTTTATGTTTGGGAAGAGTTCTACTGAACCGAATTTTAAGTTGCACTTGTCACGGCTTGAAATGCAGACGTTGTATAAAAGACGTGAAAATCTGTGATTTGCCGTTGTAAACAGAACGACGACTACGTCTGAAACTCCCCTGGGATTTTAATTATTTATTTCTTTTCATTGACTCATTGTATTGGTTGCCGTCGTCCTCGTGTTACCGTCCTACGTGCTTAAGCTCCCTAATTTACCCGCGGGAGGTACGTTGCGGGAAATTACGTCTGCACCGCTGGCTAACGATGGTCAGACTATACGCAAAAACCAGAACAACTTTGAACAATCTGGTCAGCGTAAACAGAAAAAGTGGCTCTTAGGGGTCTCTATGTTCAAATACCATTATCAGAGAAAAAGGCAGCAAGGCCTGGAAAAGAAGATTACGAATAAACATTCTCAGGTACAAAAATTGAAGATATGGACCACTACAGTACGTGAAACCTACCCTATGTATAACGCCGGTCGAGATCATTCTGCACATAGGAACAAACAACCTGAGAAATAATAACGCTGCTGTTGTCATTACCGCTATGGGTAATCTTGCCAAAGTAACATTATCACAATAACAAGATCAGACAATCATAGCATGGTTGAAAAGGTAAATATTTACAATGAAGAATTAGCTAAACTCTGCAAAGAACGCAAATGGCATCTATAATTAAAAACAATAATATTAATTCATATCACATTAACCCATCTGGAGTTCATTTGAATAGAAGTGGAACTGGAGTTTTTGCAAAAAACATAAAACAATATTTAGGCGCAAGCAAAAGTAAGCACCATTGAGAAGAAAATATAGAAGCAACGCCCTCAAATGCGATATCTGCACGAACTATAATTTAGCTAAACTAACACTAAGCGAAAATGTGATTACAAATGTAGGCCAATTTATCTCGGGCGATGACCCTTTATCTGAAAGTACGGGTATAAATAATGAGAATAAGTGAGAATAATGTCATTCAGGATATATCACTTGATAATTGAAATGAAAATACTATTTGCAATGAACTTAAGAAACTTAAAGGTTTTCGTGTCGGTCATGTTAACATCACTTCCCTCACAAGGCACATCGAACAATTAAGATTTTATCTGGACGATAAACCACTAGACATTTTAAGTGTTAATGAAACTAGATTAGACCATAGTGTAGATTATAACAAACTCCATTTAGAACTAGGATATAGTATTGTGCGCAACGACCGTTCACGAGAGGGAGGTGGTGTAGCGATATATTTTAGGGATCATCTCAATGTAAAAGAACGTTGTGACTTGATCCTTGAAAATCTAGAAGGGGGTTGTATTGAAGTTAACAAAATTAAATCAAAACCGACAATTGTAACATCCTTATATAGACCACCTAACTCCAGAATTAAGACATTTGATAATATTGAAAATTTGATTAAAAATTTAGATGACGAGAATAAGAAAATTATCTTGATCGGTGATTTTAACTGCAATCTTTTAGCAGTAAATTGACTCAATGTCACAAATCGGCTTCTGCATATCACTAAATTATTTCAACTTAGTATAGGTAATCATGCGATGGCGAGTACAATTAGGGATTAATAGTACGAGTGATGTTTGAAATTTTGCCAAAATTGGACGAACCGCCGGGGCGAGTCCAATTTGGCAAATTTCCAAACATCAAGAGTACTATTAATCCCTAATTGTACGAGCAACATCGCATGATTACTTGTTTATTATTAGCATGACAAAATTGGATACGTACTTCTCAATGTCAACATATTCTCTCGCCAAAGCCCAGTCCTGCCAGACTTTCAACCAAAATTTGGTGCTTTTGTTTGTATTTTCATTGAGTTCTTTTGTTCAAGCAAAAGTTGGTGCTTTTGTTCGTATTTTCATCTAGTTCCTCCACGGCAATTTCATTTCACATCTGTGTTTAAAATACCTTTCCGCCATTTTGTTTGTTTTGGGAAAATCATTAATTGAACTGCAGTACAATTAATGAAATAATTGTACTCCTCTCAACCAATCAGCATCCAGTAATTTTGTCATGCTAATAATAAAGCAGATAATTACAGAGGCGACACGTATTACGGAAGAAACGCAGACATTGTTGGACTTGTTCTTTACTAATAGGTTGGATTGAGGTAAATGCAAAATGGCGGCCACACGCTCGAAAACTAGCTCCGTTAATAATCAAAGTTCTAAAGATACTGATATGGATATGATTTCTTTGTCGGTTGTAAAAGAGCTTCTTAAAGTACAAGAATCTAGTATTAAAAGTTTTTTGTCAGTTTACATGGATAATACGAACCAGCGATTAGATCAAATTATTCGAACTGTTCAAGATCTTAAAAATTCGCTAGAATTTACTCAAGCTCAGTTTGAAGAATTTAAGAAGTCAAGTTTATCAGTTGGCGAGGAATCCTTTAAAAAGATGACAGATTTCGCAGCTAAATTTCAAGATTTCTCAACCATAATTGATGAAGTTTCACTCAAGGTTAATGAGATAGATAGCAAAGCAGATGACCTTGAAAATCGCTCGCGTCGTGACAACTTATGCTTCGACGGTGTTCCTGAAAGCACTAATGAATCTTGGCAAAACAGCGAAGATAAAATAAAGAAATTCTCTCCTCCAAATTGGGTATTGAGACAGGCAACTATACCATAGAACGAGCCCATCGCGTTGGCCGTGCAAGAAATTCGCCTAGTAAACCGCGGCCAATTGTGGCAAAGTTTGCTAACCATAAAATCAGAAATGCAGTCCTAAATGAAAGGAAACATCTTAAAGGGACTAATATATTTATTAGGGAAGATTTTTCTGATAAAGTATTAGCCAAACGACGCGAATTAGTTCCCAAAATGTTTGAAGCAAGACGAAATGGTATGGTGGCTTATTTACGTTATGATAAACTAATTACGCATTCAAGAAATAACACAAGTCAGACACCAACTTCTGCTCAGGCGGCAGGCGACGATAGTATTGCGCGATGATATAATTTAATTTGTGTGTTCAGATAAGTGTTTTTGTTGACATTATTTATTTAATTATGGCTTTTTCTCCGGACGTTTTTCCGTTTTCTGAGTTAGATGACCAGGAATTTAATTTATTAATATTTGAAATGCAAAATGGCTCGATTAATTATAATGCAGATAGGCTTGATTGCCTACATTTTAATCCTTTTTTGCAAGGAGATAATTATCTTACACTATCCAGTGATCTGGACCCAGACTTAAATATGTTCAATCACACTAATGACTGTAATTACTATGTTGAGGAGCAACTCAATGATTTCTTTAATTCAAAAGTTAAGTCAAGATCATGTTTTTCAGTCATGCATGTAAATAGTCGTAGCCTTAGGTGCAATCTGAATAGGCTTACGGATCTATTGTTTAGTCTTGAATTGCAATTTTCTGTAATAGGTGTTACCGAAACCTGGCTTAATGATTCTTCAGCGCAGTTGGTTAATATTGATGGTTATGATTTTATTTCAAAATGCCGACAAAATAGAACTCAAGGAGGAGGCGTGGGTTTATATGTTTTAAGCAATCATGATTTTGAATCGCGTGGTGATTTAGAAATTATTGATATTGATTTGGCGGAAACTTTGTTTATTGAGATTCGCAAGCCTCGTGGCAGAAACATTATTGTTGGTGTCATTTATAGACCTCCCGATCGTAATTTAGATTTGTTTTTACAACAATTCAATGAATTAATGTCGAAAATTTCACGGGAAAATAAGATATGTTATATAATGGGAGATTTTAATTTGAACTTAATGAATCATCAATCTAGTCCTAAAACTGGCGAATTTTTAGATTCTATATATTCAAATATGTTTCATCCACTGATATCTCGTCCAACTAGAATAACTTCAAATACGGCAACACTAATAGATAATATATTCACAAATAATATTCATAATTGTACAACTAGTGGATTATTATTTAATGATCTTTCTGACCATCTACCAATTTTTGTCGTTGATATTGACGAATTTTGGTCTGACGATCATTCGAATCAGTTTGTTATGTATCGTGATAAAAATCCTACTAATATGACAAAGTTTAGTGACCAATTAGGCAGTGTTGACTGGTCGGTTGTGGAGAACTTTAATGACCCTAAAATTGCTTATACAGCTTTTCATACTAAATTTAAAGAAATTTACAATTGTTGTTTTCCACTTAAAAAAAGTAAAATCAAACGTGGTGAAATTCATAAACCATGGCTATCCAAAGGCCTTTTAAAATCAATTAAAAGGAAAAATGTTCTGTACAAGCAATATGTTAGTAATCCTACTTATAGTCGTGAATGTTTTTATAAAAGTTATAGAAACAGATTAAATCATTCGTTGAGATTGGCAAAACGTTTATATTATAACGAAGCTTTGGGCAAATCAAAATCTAACTTAAAGAGAACATGGAAAATTCTTAATGAAGTTATAAATAGGAAAAAGAAATCGTTAAAACTACCTTCAATTTTTAAGATTGATAACCAAGAAATTTCCGATCCCTCTGTCATTGCTGATAAATTTTGTAGTTATTTTTCAAATATAGGTCATAATTTAGCGGATAAAATACCTCAATCATCTATTTCGCACTTGACATCTTTGTCTGGGTGTTATCAAAACTCAATTTTTATCGACCCAACAACTCAAAATGAAATCATAGAAATTGCGATGAGTTTTGAATCAAATAAAGCTTCTGGATATGATAATATTCCAATGGCAGTTGTGCAGCATTCGATTGGTATAATTTCGAGGCCTCTGGCTCATATAATTAACTTATCTATTTCACATGGTATAGTTCCAGATGAAATGAAAATAGCTCGAGTTATTCCGCTTTTTAAAGCTGGTGATCAAGCAGTATTTACAAATTATAGACCTGTTTCTATTCTTCCGTGTTTCTCCAAGTTTTTAGAAAAAGTTATTTATAAGCGTTTGTTGAACTATATAAATAAACTGGGTATTTTTTGTAATAATCAGTTTGGCTTTCGTAAAGGTCATTCTACTTCATTGGCTCTGGTTGATTTATTTGATAAGATTTCATCAGCAATTGATCGCAAGGAACACTCGGTTGGAATATTTTTAGACCTTTCAAAAGCCTTTGATACAGTAGATCATAATATTCTACTTGATAAACTGAATTATTATGGAATTAGGGGCCTAGCTTTAGATTTAATTAAAAGTTACATATCGCATAGAATGCAGTACGTACAATATAATCAAACAAATTCTATTAAGCAGAATATTTCCTGCGGAGTACCTCAGGGTTCAATCTTGGGTCCTCTTTTGTTTTTATTATATATCAATGATTTAGCAAATGTTTCGAAACTTTTGACGGTAATTTTGTTCGCTGATGATACAAATATTTTTTACTCGCATTATGACCCAACAATTCTAACTAAAGTTTTGAAGGAGGAGACTGAAAAATTATCTGAATGGTTTAAAGCAAATAAGTTATCATTAAATTTAGATAAAACGAAATTCATGTTATTTAAGCCAAAACAAAAGAAGGGAAGGTTGAATATAAATTTGTGCATAAATAATCATGAAATTTCTCAAGTAAGTGAAATTGTGTTTTTGGGAGTTGTCTTGGATCAACATTTGTCATGGAAACCGCAGATTGCTCAAGTTGCAAATAAAATATCTAAATCTATAGGAATAATTTATAAATCAAGTTTCTACCTATTTAAAGAAAGCATGCGCACGTTATATTTTTCTTTAGTTTATCCATATCTATATTATTGTAATCTGGTATGGGCGTCTACCTACCAGAGTAATTTATATCGTATTATTTTACTTCAGAAACGTGTTGTCAGAATTTTAAGTAGGAGTAATTTTGATGCACATACAGATCCTATTTTTAAAGAACTTCATATAATGAAATTTTGTGATATTTGCTCATTGCAAATGGGCCAGTTTATGTTTTCCTATAAACATGGATTGTTGCCTGCCTGTTTTGATAGTTTTTTTATACTGAATAGTGAAGTACATAGCTATCTGACTAGAAATTCAAAATCTTTCCACCTGCCGTTGTGTCGGACAAATATTTGTCAGTTTTCAATACGATATCAAGGTCCGAAGTTTTTTAACTCACTTGGGGATGAAATTGTTAATTCTGTTTCTTTTCAAATTTTTACTTTCAGGCTTAAAAGTTTATTTCTTTGAATTGTAACCATCAATATAGCCATTCATCGAATATGTTAAACTACCGTATTACATTATGTTAAACTACCGTTTGATGTTGCCATTTTGCATTTGCTTATTTATATAATTTTCTGTAATCCATTTCTGGGAGGAAATCCATGATTTCATAAGCCTTTAGGTTTCTTTTTTGGATTTCCTCGCCATATGTAATTCTTTTTTTTTATTTATTTATGTGTATTTGTTTGTGAAAGTTATATTGGCAATTTATTAAAAAATTAAAATATTAAATGAAAAAAAAAAAAAAAAAAAAAAAAAAAAAAAATACATGGTTTGGAGACTCGATGAAAGTACAATATAACTCATCAACTATATTGGTTTCGGTTTCTGCACGAATTTGGGCCTATCTCGTCACGTGTGTATTGTATTTTATCCCGCACAACCAATAGCAATGTTTAAATTGAGCATTTTGTTCAAGTTACGGATGATAACTCAACCACAAACTTGTTATTGGCTATTTGAGAAAAAATACAATACACACGTGACGAGATAGGATCAAATTCTTGCATAAAGCTGGACAATAACATAGTTAATGAGTTATACTGTACTTTCATCCGTCATCGAGTCTCCAAACCATCTATTAAAATAACTGTGGTGCCAGTGTAGGCAATGTCAATAATCAGAAAACTTCGGGTTGATAAGGATACAACTACCTGAAAAACACACAAGGAGAACTTCAGGTAATGTATTCAGTTACCTGAGAAACACACAAGGAGAACTTCGATCTCTTATTAAATATCAGGATTTTGGGCATCCACACTTGATAACCAAGCGCTTTCTTCGGCGAAATGCGAAAAATTTCGCGCGAAATGAATTAGGTGCTTGCGCAGTAAAGATAAATTAGGCTTTGCAAGAAAAAATTTCGCTTCACCACTGAGTATAAGTCAGTTCTACTCACTGCGAAAGCGGAAAAAGTGTGAAAATTCAATAGAATCGCTCATGTGCAACCATCCGTATTTCGCGAATAATTTTGCCGTCGTGGAATCAGGCCTTCATAACACGACAAATACACGACACACTACATGATTCATACATGACACCAAAGTCACGCAAGAACAACAACTGACAAAATACGAACAACAACTGATATTGTTTGAGCGGCATTTGACACGAAATATCTTCCAAATTCTTGGGCGTTCAACGTTAAAGTCCGAGTTTAGTTTGTTGAGGTAATATTCGTAAGTTTAGCTTTAAAATACTGCATATTAAAGAGGATGCCGACTTAATGCCCGAAGGTAGGTTAGTCCAAAAGGAGTACGATTCTATTGAAGTAGGACGATCTGAAGTGTTATTGTAGTTTCTTCTGATAACGAAAATCTATTGCATATACTTCGTCACAATAACTCAGTCAAAACAAACAATTTTCGGGTTTCATGTCTACAGTTATAGTTAGATATTTTAATATGTGATAGTGCATATTTTTGTAACAAAATAGATTAGTCATTTTGCTAACTTACCAATTAAAATATAATAATGCTGAGGAAACAGCGAGAAATGGAACTAGGAGATATAATGAGAAGAGATGAGCTCGCCAACAATCTCCTTGTAACTCAATGCAGTTAAATACCATGACAGACAATGTGATAACCCAGGATTGGCCAACTTCCACACCATTTATACCAGCTACAATATTGATGGCATTTGTACAGAACACAGCAAGCATGCCCATGTACACATAGTAAAGTGCACCTAAATGATAAAATAGAAAAGTGTTAGCATAGATTGCTTTCACTGATCAGGTGACAAATTTTGAAACCACTAAAGCTTCAACATTGGTTGCTTCACTTGTTTTCTAGATTGCTAACAAAAAGTTTTGAGGCAATACAATCATTTCTATTTACATTATTGCTGACGTCCGCATTATTTTTGAAGGCTGTTAAGCCTGTTATACAATTTAGTTTCGAAACACTTGGGTAAGGTAAAGATTGAATTGATATCTAAACGAAACTTATTAGGATTTAAGACATTTGGGTTAAGATTCAGCTTTATTCGATCAAATGTTTTTGGCTTTGTACACCAACATGGTAGCCAAAAATCAAATTATCATCATGAATCTTTCTCTACGCTCATACAAACTATATCCTCTTTTATTCAATCACACTACCCTACTCTCTTCCCCCTCCATACATGATTCTAGTAAGATCACAAGAAATATATTGCATACTTGTCATAGCTGACAAGGAACAACATTATGCTTCATGTCAAATCCATTAAAAACCCTACCTAGATTTACAGTTATTCCGAGTATAAACCTCAAGGGTTTGGGTACAACGACAGTCGTGGATCCATAGTTGACGATATACACCATGAGAATAGGAAGTGATGCCATTGTAGGAAGCAATAACTTATGTCGCCATTTTAGGTTTAGTACATCATCAGCAAATCCCAGAAATATCATACAACAGATAGACAATAGAGCAGCTATCCACTGGACAAACTACATCAGAGAAAATTAATCTTGAACGATATCGGAAACAAAATTATGTTTCTTGTAGTTTTGCGTGCCAAATAACGTCAACTTACGTGGTGTTTCCACAAACAAAATTATGTTTATTTGAAAATAACTTTTAAACAATTTTTCAATAACGTTTTGCTGCGTTTTTGAAATAACATTTGACTTTCATTTGCGGGGTAATAAATGATATATAGTCAACATCGATTGTATTAACACTTGATCATTTTTCTGTTTCAAATTCTCATACTTACATATTCACTTTTTGATCTGAGAGTTTTATTTCGGACAGGTTAAGTTGATATGGTGTGCAAGGAATTTTTCTCATTTCAAAATGTGTACCCACCCTGCCCATGACATCATAGATTTAGTCCATTTGTACATATCAAACAAGTAGAAGTATTTCAAAAATGAAGAAGGAAAAAGTGCAAAGTAATTTGCATTGCTGTTTGAAGAGTCTAATTTATAATTGCCGATGTCTTACAGTGTAAAGCAGCTTTAAGATTATAGGACACGTCTGAGGAATAAAGTCATCCATAGGTTTTATAAATTCGTCAATCCACTCAATCGTAACTACCGTTTCAACGTGTTGACTGTTTTTGCCGTTATTTCGATTACGAAATTTAAAGTACAACGTAAGGCCTAAGGAAAACGCACAAACGGTTAATACGCATAAATACTGAAGATGCGTGCTAAAATGAACATCCTCGAAATTTCTTTCAAATCCTTCCAACGTGTATAACCCAGCATAGGTACTTTATATCATGAAACATTACCTCGTGATGAGGAAAATCATTAGCACCATTCTCCCACCATGCTTTCCAAAAGGGAAATGGTATAAAGACAAAGACACATATCAAATACACAGCTCCACATAACACACCCATTGCTTCAGGACTAAAAAAACGAAAAGAAATTGAATGTGTGGTTTCATTGTGGGTACAAAGCGAAACGTCGATCTTTTCACCGTGGGTAGATTTTATTAAGAGTGGAATGGGTGGATCCTCCGCAGAAACTCAGTTCCCCTTGAGGAACAGAACATTAGAACAAAACTTTGGAAAAAGTTAGCATAAGTGCATACTGAAATTTATTGCATCACGCAAACATCAAAGACGTAAGATGCATAACTATGCTTCGCATCAGAATATTTAGCACTATAAATTGTGCGTACACCTTACAGGTGCCGAACACCTATTATGTGATTTAACTTTTAACCAAAATGTCCCCAATTTCGTTCCGAACTTCGTAAATTGCATCCACAAATTGACAGCAAAGATGAGCTTGCTCATCTTAACAGAACATACATGTGTAGATTGCACATGATGATATGTACTTAATATTAATGAGGCAACTACTAAATTATAATTACTTCAAGTTGAAGGCGGCAAAGTTTTTTGATTTATTGATAGAATTGCTCAAAAAAGGCTCAAAAAGGCTCAAAAACAATATTAGGTGACTCAGTAAAAATTAAACAGAACACTTTAAACTTACAATTTGAGCCTTATTTTGTTGCAATACATCAAGTAAAACAAAACAAACAACGTGCGAAAAAGTTTTACTGAGCTCACAATGCTAAGCAATGAATACTCAATGTCAGCCGCCATGTCCATTTTTTGTACAATTTCTGGTTGTGATAAAAATTTCATAATGAAATTCAGAAGCAGGTTTGAAAACAAAGCCTCTGGTTGGGTACTAAAAGGTGGATAGTGAAATGGGTTGTCTCATAGATTTCATTACGAATTTATGAAGTTCGGAACATCGAAAACTTAAATTTATATTTTCACTTCAATTTCATGGACTACATGAGGGATACTCTACAGTACATCTTGTAAGAGCCAGGGAAGCAGATGAAGAATTGGTTGAAAGAGGAATCATGGAACCTAATTATTAAGAGATAAAAGGCAGAATAAACAGGAATTAGAGAATGAGATGGCAAGGCAGGGTTCAGAATAGAAGCCAGCAGCTGGCAAATTTCGCTGCCTATAGCATAGACAATCACCAGTTGTTTCTTGAAAGTATAACCTAAAATATTCCCTCTTCACCATAGAAATATTCCAGCAAAAATCTACACGTCTGCCACAACAGATTTTTCACCCTCTGTATGTGAAGGGGGGAAATCCATTTACAGATAATTTATAATATATTATAGTATAAAAATGTACTGGGAAATCTTAATTAACTTCCAACTTCCTCTGTCTGAAGGTATGGATGCTTTGTGGAATGACCAAATATCATATGTTATGCATAATTGATCCTATCTTTTGACTGTATAGTGGCAATGACCTTCTCCAATTAGCTGATACATAACAACCCCAAAAAACTAATCAAAGAACCAGATTGCATAAATTGAACCCAAGCTAGTTTTAAAAAATATAAATGCTGACCTAGATGGAAATGTCTGGGTTTCACATATTTATACATTGCAACTGTGATCCAGTATGGAATAAGTTTTTTGTGCTGCACTAGACAGTGAAACACACAATTCTTCTTGTGCACCAAAATTATCCAATAGTGTGTACAAATGGGTGTCACAAGACATGCTAATGATGTTAAATAATATTATTATTTCCAAGTTATACATGGAAAGACATAAGAAACTGCAGACCATGATAATTATGATATATTCCCCCTGCAAGGTATATTCTGAAATTTAGAACCTCGCAAACACCATTTCCTGGCAGTTTTAGTGGCCTTTTCAAGTTGAAAACAAAAGCAATTCTAGGTACTATACTAATATTTCTTCTAATCTACAAACAATTTAATTTTTCAGTTGGTCATATGATTATAAAGGTCCATTTGATTATAAAGGCCCATTTACAGGATACGACTTGTTGTATACAATTGTCATTCTGGCACATGAAAATGAATGCTGACAGCGCTATTCCTGTTCATCCATTTATAGAGAAATGTGACATCTACACACGTTTTAATTGAGTACACACATCAGGACAAGACTCACAAGAGTTGTATATGACTACTTGTATTGTGTAAATGGGCTTCAGTACAGTATGTGCACCAGAGATAACCAAATTGAGAATTGTGCACCAGCATGTGACCAAATGCTTTCATTCCATACTGGGCTGTGATTGTAGCGTATATTGGCTATACATTCTCAGCGTACTAGTACCACTCTGGAAGACATTCCTGAATAATAATAGAGCTGTGAGAGGCCATAGGGGAAATTTTGCTCCAGCAGGGCACAAAATAGCGGAAAACCAACGATCGGCTGGAAATTGCTTTTGGTTGGCAGAGAAGCAAGGTTGCTGATCATCTTGATCGGCAAGAACCATTGTCTCAAAAACATGGTTCATGTCATTAACGAACACCGTGCAATACTACGGCATTATTACATAACATATAAACAGAACATATCCTATACTGATCGGCCAGATTTGATCAGCAGAAAATCATGATCGGGAATGTTGGAAACGTTATTCTGAGCCCTGCACCACTGTACCAGGCCAACTTGAAAATGAAAATGGCCCCCCAAAGGCCCTTAAAATTACTTCATAACTTTAGATTCAGTGCCAGATATTATACAATGAAGTGTGCCAGTATATTGTAATACACTCTTCTCCAGGGGAAAATATCAGCAATCTTGAAACTTTCTAGCCAGATGGAGCTAAGATAACAAAATATAAATAATATCTTCATTTATGTTTGTGATGTTACTCTGAGTGCATAATTATCCACACCGGGCGAGCTTGAAAAATATGCCCGGCCACGGTGGGATTCGAACCTACGACCTTTGGAATACTAGCCCAATGCTCTTCCAACTGAGCTACGCGGTCAGGACGGTTCAAGTAAGTGATATTTCGGAACAGTAT